TTTTTGTCAAATCAAAATATTTCTTATCGATATGAAAGAAACCATCGATATTTATTCTTATTTTAGAGCATTTCATGGATAAAATAGTATTTTGAGTTGGTTATGTTTTGTTTTGAAGTCAACAATTTTGTATTGAAAAATGACGGCAAATGATGGCTTGTTTTGTACAAGACTTTAGTTGAACATGGACGAAGAAAACACTACACGACTAATACAAGCTGGAATGATCCGAGTAAATTAAGAAATAATTCTAGTCTAATGTGGTTCAATAATCATAGTTATCTAGTTTTTCAAAGTGAGGATCAGCAATAATTCAGCTCACCCCTTTTTACTTGTCTTTGTTCAGCTCACCTCGAGTCTGAAAGAAAATAAATAACACGGATATTTAGAACAAATTCTATATACTCAARACAAGACTAAAAAACAAAACAAACTCTCCTTGCTGTTTGGTTTTCCTCTTCCTGGGTCTTTTTACATCAGATCAAAGAAGACAAAATACTGACTAAACGAAGATCTTGACTGCGAACATTTTTACAGTTTGACATATTCTTGCCAAAAACAAGCGATTTTTCCATAACTTTTCCAGATTCCTCGAAGCAGATGTAAATAGGTTTAGTATTTGAGGTATTTACTTGCAATGTGGTTGGTTGTGTAAGTCAGTAAACTGTTGGGAAGAGAGCAATAATCCAGTAGAAATTCTTGGTTGATGAAGAACAAAGAACAAAACCAACTTTGAAAAACTTCCAACCAACAAGTCACGTGATGAAAAGAGCGGGAAAATAATAACCCACGTTGATTGGTTCATGTCAGGGAACTTGAACCAATCAGAGAACATTGATCATCATCATCATCATCATCATCATCATTGGGAAGTTTGGCACGAAAAGTCCATTTTTCAGTTGGAACATTGGCTTGTAAAGCTTCACAAATTGTACACCACAAATTTCTGTTAAAGATGAATTTTTCTCCCTAATGAATTGGAAGGTATTCCGAAGTCCAAATGGAATTTTTTAAATTTTTATTTTTTTAAAAGGACCAGTGAGAAGCACTATTAATGCGAGTTTTGATCGTAAACTACTTTATTTCTCCTACGCGTTTCGTCTATTTAATTTTCCCTAAACTATTAAACGTGTATAGGAAATAGGAAATAAAATTACACAGGCCCACCCAATGGTTAGCATAGTAAAAATAGTTAACATATAAAGATAAATATATTTCGGGGGCGCAGTTATAGCTATAACTACGCCCCCGAAATATATTCGAATGACTTTGTGTTGCCAGCGAACAATGATGGGCAATAGGGGATATAGGAGATRGGTCATTTGAAAACTTAAAAATAGTTTAATGGCTGGTGTTTCGTCTTCTGATCGTCGTCAAGAACACGGAGGTTAGAGTTGAGATGATCCCGCAGTGTTGTTTGTAGTTGACGAAACCATTTTAAAGGCCTCGTTTATTCGTTATATTTTAGTTGTATACCCATAATTCCTTTTAATGATCTAACGCCTATCCATCCTATCTCCTTTAGCACCGACAACCTTTATGTTAATATATGTATCAGCGGCAATGTCTATTACTGAGACTGAGCGCTTCAGAGGTTTAACATAATCACTTGCTTGCCTTGTAATGTTATCGAGCACTCACGGTTAGTGACACGAGTTATTGATCGTGTTGACATTTCAGTGCATTGTGGAACTGTTTTATTGAACAACAAAGAAACTTTTAGAATAATATGTTTCCTAAACTAATCCCAAGATGCACTGCAATGCCAACTCGATCTAGTTTTTCCCTTAACCTCGGAATAAATGGTTGTTTGTGTGTGGAAGTGGCATTGCTATGCATTATAGGGCTGTAGGAGACGAAATAGACGCCATCTTGGAAATGTCCTCTAAAACCGCCCCACAATGCAGTGCAATACCAACTCCAGTCAGTTTATTTCTCATCCTCTGAACGACTGAAAAACTGGTTTCTATTTACGTTACATGTTTGCTTTAGGGATGAACATGAGAGTGGTTTCAGCTTCTTATCTAAACAGGAACCTTTTAGTGATTGTTTTCCAAACACCTTATGGATATTACAGCGCTACCTCTCAATTACGCGCGCGAAATCGGACAATTTTCTATCGTGGCAAAGTAGGTTTTGGTGGACTTCAATCAAGATGTTTCCATGACACTTCATAGGCACGTACCCTCGAAAGCCTTGTGTTTTCCGACAATGTCAAGGAAGCACTGTGATTGACGTCTACTAATTGCAAAACCTCCTTTTGTAGTCGTACGATTTCGCGCGCGACATTTTAACTGACAAACTAAGGTAAACACGGAAAAAAGAATAGTATTCCTTCGGTGGTTCTTTAGATATATGATATCTAGAATAGCCGGTCTTTGATGTTGAGCATATAGCACAGCAATTTTAAATATAGGAGTAGATTTATTTATCGAAATAATGATTACCCATAGATAACATAAAGAAAACTAAAGTTGACATCGGAAAGGATGGTGAACACTTCTTAATTTTAAATTTCATATCAAACTTGGCATCATTTTTAATATTAATCGTTTAAACTTAATTAATAGTTGTTTAAGCTCAAGATACGCAAAGTAGTTGTCTATGACCGTTAATTGTTAGGTCTCCCCGATGAGCAAAGCACCTGTGAAGAGCTACAAGACTTTTTGTGTGTTTTATCATCCAATATTCCGTTTTACAGTTCCGCATTCAATAACCATGAATAATATTTGCTACTCGATGTTGGCGGAGTTGCCTTGCATAATAAAGTATAGTAAGTAATTTAAAAGAAATTTTGCGATGTTATTCGAAAAAAAAACGCTCTGGTTTTTATATTGACTCTCGCAGGAACTTGTATATGATATCTAAGGTTATTTCGTGGTTTTTTTTGTTTTTTTGTTTTTTTTTGTTTTTTTGTTTTTGTTTATTGTTTGTTTGTCAATCATTTATTGGTCTAATACCTTTAAATATAAAACACGCGGAATACATCAAATACTAGTGTTTTACCAATGGAAATAAACTTATCTGACTTTAGATCAACCCAAAGGTTGTTTCATTGAGGGTTTGATCTGAGAGTTCGCTATGCCGTGCTCTGGCTTACATCAACCTTGAGGGTTGTTTCAGTGTTTCAGGGTTTGATGATACTCAGAACACGACAAAGGCTGAGATTTTTGCTTATCATTGGATTTTGTACCCTGCCAAACGACATCGTTGAACTATCCAAGCAGATTTTGCAATTCTATTTATCAACTTGGCCAATAGCAGACGCTTTGGTTCTCCAATCTATTGATATAGTGTTGACGACTACACGAGAGAAAACGGAATAGCCGATTCGGCAGCTGTCACGCTTAGCAGGTGAAAAAAGTCTCCAGAAGAGGAACAAGTTAAAAACCTATGACAAAAGAACAGAAATTACTTAACCTCGAGCAGACGATGGCTACCTATTTTGGTTCCGAACTATGCAGGATTTTTGCGCTTTGCGTTGCGTTGAGATTCGTTACCTCTTGTAGAGAAGTGTTTCTCACAGTTCCTTTACTGGATGTTAGAGACTGTTTATCAAATTGCGAGAGAGATTCACGATGTTCGACATATTATTTCAAGGTAGGATGGTTTATCATCAACGTTTTGGGAATTTTCGTAGCATAAAGGCAACATTTTTTACGACATCACTCTCCGTACAGGGCTCTTCCGTGAGGCTCGCTCACCACACGCACGACCACTATTTGTATGAACACACAACACTCAACTCACACGCTGATTTTTACCAACTGAAGAAAGAATACTAAAGATCTGGAGAAAAATCCCAGTCGTGGCAAGGGAGAAATTGTTATCAATAAAACATTCCTTAATTCGCTGAAGTAACTACAAAACAACGTCTGGAAGTCGAGTTTGGCCGGACTTAATAATATGCAGTAAATTTATGAACACAACCTCGCCGGCATTGTTGTTTTTGTTCATGGTAACTTGACTGAAGCGAATTAGACTTGAATTTACCTTTTTCTACAAGCCAGTGGCGGATTATTATTATTATTATCAGCAGTAAACACGTTTGAATGCTAATTAGGTAAGCTAGATAGG